GGTCCTGAGAGTGCGTCCACAGAGCTGGCAAGACTGTGTGGTGTGGGCCCTTGGCCACTGGCAACTATGCTTCCACCATGGCATCAAACAGCTGCTGAGGCGCTTCCCACCTGATAAAGTGGGTGGCTCAGGGTTGGGAGGCTGAGGGCTCAGGAGCACCAGGCTGAGCCCAGCGGTCTCTATTTCCCTAGGTGCTTGAGGATGGAACTCCCTTCTGGTTGGGTCCCAAACAGTGTCCCCAGCCCCTGGAGTTTGACACCAGCCAAGTGAGTGGGGTTACCTAGGGAGTGCCAAGATGGAGAGGGGGTCCCTCAGAGCAGCGCTAGGCACCTCTGCATTCTGCAGAGATGCGCAGATGCTGAGAGAGAGCCATGCTTCTACACATGTGGGTGTCCACATGTGAGGCAGAGGCAGGCACTCAAACAGATTCACAGATGGGCAGCTGCCCCCACCCCATGCACCCGTACATGCTTACTTGCATCATGCATCTGCTCCTGCTCTTGGTCTGGCTGCAGGACACACACGTCCTCTATGTGCTGGCGGCTGCCAACCTGTATGCCCAGATGCATGGGCTGCCTGGTTCACAGGACTGGACTACACTCAAGGGGCTGCTGAAGCTGCTGCCGCAGCCTGACCCCCAGCATCTGGCCCATATCTTCACTGGTAACCTACAGTTGGCTTTGGCTTCTGCTGAGACTGGTGAGACCCCTGGCTCTAGTCCCCCATGCTGCCACTCAAAGGCCAAAGCCTGTCCTATCCACAGCCTGTGCTGCAGAGGGAAGATAGTGTCTGGGGGACCTACAGCCAATCCACTACCTCTCAGTCCCTCTGACCTTGCTTCTCTCTAGGTTTAGACCCATCCTCTGGTTCCTCAGCAGGCCTTTTCCCTCCTGCCTACCCCACGTCTCAGTTCCCTTAGCAGATTCTCAGCAAAATAAATAAATAAATAAAATCCACCAGGCCCTGGGGAGTAGCGAGCTACGGCCCCTAGATAAGGACAGAGTGACACCGGTGTGCATGCATGTGCACGTGCACACACACACTCACACATGGGTGAAGGCTGGGACTGCTAGGGAGGAGATTGAAGCATTAATTCAGGGCTTCTTGATTTGATTAAGGAGTAGTAAGTGGGCTAGGCGTGGTGGCTCACACCTGTAATCCTAGCACTCCAGAAGGCCGAGGTGGGAGGATCTCTAGAGGTCAGGAGTTCAAGACCAGCCTGAGCAAGAGTGAGACCCTGTCTCTACTAAAAATAGAAAAAAATTAGCTGGGCGTGGTGGCACATGCCTATAGTCCCAGCTACTTGGGAGGCTGAGGCAGGAGGATTGCTTGAGCCTAGGACTTCGAGGTTGCAGTGAGCTACGATAACACCACTTCACTCTAGCTGGGGCAACAGAGCAAGATTGTGTTTCAAAAAAAAAAAAAAAAAGGAGTGGTAAATGATAGGCTTGGCAGAAACCAAGAAAAGGTACTAGGCTCCAGGAAGAGTGCAGGAGGAGACAGGGGCCAAGGACTTGCCCAATGCCCCTTCTCGCCTGACAGGTCCTGAGCAGTTGAAGAAACTGGGCGATGTCCTGGAAGTCTGGAGCGTGGGCTCTCCCCTGAAGCCTCTGATGTTTGAGAAGGTGGGAGCCCAAGTGGGGGTGAGGACTTGGGCTGGGGAGGTTGTGGGGGAAGGTCAGGAGCTTAGAGGGTAGCTTTGGAGCTCTTTGGCCCAAGTTCTCCATTGGGGACCTGGAAGTAGCTCACCTTCCCTGAACTTCAGCTTCATTATCTGATAAATGGGCAGATGATGAGCACCTATCTCACAGAATTGTGGGAAGGCCTGTACGATGGCACATAGTTGGCCATGGTGAGGGACATGCTGCAGTGTTAACACTACTGTGACTTGAGCCTCACAGGATGATGACAGCAACTTCCATGTGGACTTTGTGACAGCAGCAGCTAGCCTACGGTCTCAGAACTATGGGATCCTACCGGTCAATCGTGCCCAGGTAACCCTGCACCTTGGGGCTCAGGTCTAGAGGTGGGGGCCAAACCCTTGCCCTAGACCTTGGGCCCAGACCAAAGCTCCTGTCCTTGGCAGTGCAAGCGAATCGTGGGCCAGATTATCCCAGCCATTGCCACCACTACAGCAGCTGTGGCAGGCCTGGTGGGCCTGGAGCTGTATAAGGTGGTGGGGAAGCCACGGCCCCTTGGTGCCTTTCGCCACAGCTATCTGCATCTGGCTGGAAACTACTTCAGCCGCTGGGTGCCTTCAGCCCCAGCCACCCAGACAGTGAGTCCTTGATACCCCACCCCTACTCCCACTAGGCCTGGGTTTCCCCTGCGCCTACCCACATAGGTTCCACTCTAGCTGTGGGCTCTCACCAGGACCCCAACTATGCAGGAGTCCTCAAGACTCTTTCCAGCCCCCTTCCTGCCATGAAGCCAGGCTGGGACCTGTCACACACAGGAAGCAGCCATCAGCCATCCCCACCCCCCAGGTGGGGGGTCTGGAGGAGGGTCTTTCACAGCCCAAGATCTGGAGGAGCTGCCTCTTTAACTCATTAGTGGAGCCAGACATCCCCCAAAGCCCCCTCCTTCCCAGTAGTACTCCTGAAGGGGAGGTTGTAAGAAAGAGGACTAGGGCCCCAGCCCTAGAAAAAGTCTCACATCCCCCTGCATGGCATGGGGGCCCTGGCCTGCCTCTTCCTAGCTGAGTTAAAGGGCACTAGGCTTGTTACCAGGGATGTGAGGTCTGCAACCCTGTGGTGGGGTCTATGCATTCATGTCACAGGTGTGAGTGCACTGGGTTCTGGGTATCCGTGGTGTGTGGGCATGGAGGCAGCGAGCTTGCACATCTGCATGCCAGATGCAGGGCTCTATCTCAATGTCGGTATGCATGGATGTGCATGTGGGTACACATGACTGTGTTCCTCGGCTTGTGTGCATGTGTGTTCTTGTGAGTGCAGGGCTGTGAATGCCTCCAGCTGTGTGCCCGAGCTCTGCAATAGTTGGCATTTCCTTGGGGCATAGGAGAGGGGATGGAGGGAATGCTCTCACCAGGGAGAGGGCAGAGGTCATGGGCCAGCACTGGGCTTTTGCTGAGCAGCCCTGGATTCCCTCCAGACATAACATACAGAGCCCCTTTGTGAGACATCCCACCTCTAACTAGCACACAGTCTGCCTTTGTCCAGAGAGTGGAGGGAGAGGGGAAGGAGCCCCCATCTTGCCTCTAGCCTAGTTCCAGCTTGACTCCAGTGTGTTTTTTAAGGGACTGGTAGGGCCCCCCTGTCCTGCCCTCTGGATGCCTGACAGTCACTCTTCTGTCCTCAGCTCTAGGCACCAGAACCCCAAGACTTTTGAAATAGGGAAGGAAAGAGGGGTTAGGAAGAGGAGGCCTCTATGGACTGTGACCCTGCGGGGGTCTCTGGGCCAGTAGGGCTCCAGTGGTCACTGTGCCTTTTGCCCCTGTATCCCCATGAGTAGTCCAAGGCCCTGGCAGTACAGGATGGGGGGATAGGATGTGGCCCCCAGCTCCCAGCTTGTATCTGAGAAACAAGCAGTTTTATCAGAGACTGCAGGGGCCCTGCTCTGGCTTCCTCAGGAAGCACCACCCCCTCATCCTCCCCCCAACACAACTGGCCTGTTTGATGGATCGTCTGTTTCCCTGTGCGGGGCCCCATAGCCCTATTTCCTGTGCTGGCCCCAGCATGGGCGGGGAGGGGGCTGAGACTCTGGGCCTAGATCCCACCCTCCACCCCCCACCTCCTCGCTCCTGTTTCCTGCCTCTAGTCCAGTTCTTCCCCTAGGAAAGGCTACTAATAACTGCGATAGGGGTTGGGGTATGTGTAAGAAGTCACTCACTCCTTCCCATCCCCCACCCCCCAGTTCCATCACCTGAAGTGGACCTGTTGGGACCGTCTGAAGGTTCCCGCTGGGCAGCCTGAGAGGACACTGGAGTCGCTGCTGGCCCATCTCCAGGTGTGCCCTGTCCCTCCCTTGCCCCCAGTCTCAGCCCAGGCTGGCCCAGCTGACATCTGACCTGTCTTTCTCTAGGAGCAACATGGGCTGAGTGTGAGGATGCTGCTGCATGGCCCAGCCCTGCTCTACTCAACAGGATGGTCACCTGAAAAGCAGGCTCAGTACCTGCCCCTCAGGTGAGCCCACACCTGGCTTTAGCCAGGCCCCACATGTCCCTGGAGATTAGGAATGGGGGACACACAGCCTTTCGTCTTCCCAATCCCACTCTGGGCCCCTCACACCTTCCTGAAGCATTCTTTCACCAAATGGAGCCAGCAAATGGGCTGGGGGTGGGGCGAGAGGGCTGACAGCCTGAGTAGGGGCCCTCAGGAGCTGCTTGCTTGGCCAGCCTGGCTGGCTCCCCCACACACTGCACAGCCCCCCTTTCACAGCCCAGTCCCAAGGGACCCATGGCTTCCTGCCTCCTGCTTGCCCCGCCAGCTGCTCCTAAAATAGTTTCAGATGTTTCCTGTCTTGAGCTGCTCCTGCTCTTGGCTTGGGCTCCTGATGGCTGCCAGTGCCCGCTAGTCCATGCCAGGCTGCTCTCTGCCTGCCACTGCTCACCTACCCAATCTCCCCTAAACCCCGCCCCCCCACCAGGGTGACAGAACTGGTTAAGCAGGTGACAGGCCGTGTGCCTGAGCCTGGGCTGCGGGTGCTGGTCCTGGAGCTGAGCTGCGAGGGTGAGAAGGAGGACACTGCCTTCCCACCTCTGCACTATGAGCTGTGACAAGGCAGCTGCTCCATCACCTGTGAGCCCTATGTCCCAAGTCCTACATCTTGAGCCCACAGTAGGCACTCAATAAATGCTTATTGAAGGAAAGCATAATGGAGAGGATCGATGATTGAACACTGGGTAGTAATGCACAGTGACATGGGAATAACAGGGACCCTCGCAGGGAAAGAAAAAGCTCTTTAGAAGATTTGCCTGGCTTGGCTGGGCTTCCCAGGGCTGAGGCTGCCTCCTGGAACCTCAGAGGTAAGGAGCTAAGATAGTCTAAAAAAAGGCCTTTATTGTCCCAGGATGGAGAGCAGGGTCAGAGGTAGCTGACATCATTGAAGATGATGGGCTGGCGGCTGCGGCAGCTCATGAGGGCTGCAAAACGTGAGACGTCCCCAGGCAGCTCAGGTTCGGGGCGAGGTGGGCATGATAGCCGCTTTCCTGCCATAGCTGCCCGCCGAGCCCTGGCCAGCTGGCGCCGAAGCTGCTCTGAGAGGCCAAGCAGGAACTGGGGGGGCCGAGCACGGGCACGGTGCCCACCTCCATCGCCCCCTTCACTGGCTGTCTCGGGCAGCTCCATCCAGTTGTGCACCAAGTCAGCAAAGCAGTTGTCCCCCAGCACCAGGGGCTGGCGACTGCGACCCCTATTCAGTAAGGCCGCTGTCCAGTCCTCTGCTTCTAGTCCCTGCCAATGCTCCAGGCAGGCATCTGGGGTGGACTTGGGCCGTGGACGGCGGGCAGGTGGTGCGCTGGCTACAGGGGCCCTGCTGGGCAGGGGGAGGCCACTGAATGAGAGGCGCTGGCTATGAGGGGGCCTTGCTGGGGGTGCTGGGCACTGGGGTACAGGCAGCTCTTCCTCTCGCCATGTACTGCCTGATACCTCAGAGAAGCCAGAGTCCCAGTCCAGGGCATGTTCCCTGGGGCCCCCTAAGGCTGCACCCCCGTCTTCTGTCACCACTGCTTCCTCCTCATCCTCCTCCTCTTCCTCCTCTTCCACACAGCAGACAGAGTCCTCTTCCAAAGCATCTGAGGCCCTGAGCTGGTGGCTGGGCTGCACACCTGGGCCAGTTTTGGGGGCTGGCTTCAGGGGGCCAGGCATCGGGGGTGAGCCTGTGTCCCGGCCACACAGCTGAGGGGAAGAGAGGGCAGAAGTTGGAGAGGTACCGCTTGTCACTTCTGCCTGCCTGGCCAGGCCAGCCCTGAGAACAGAGGGTCCAGGAGGGCTTGATAGGCCTACTGGCCTGGGCAGAAAGGCTGCTAGTGAGCACAGGGCCAGCTTGGGGGCGCTGGCACACGTGTGGCTCGCATCCGTCGACCCGGTGGTGGCAGTCCGGCACGCTGCAGCATGCAGGGCCGGGCAAGTCGGCACCCGCCACCAGGGCGGGCAGGCGGGCAGGGTTGTGGACTTGAATGGGGAAGTAGGTCCTGCCTAGGGGTAGAGGGGCATCCCATGTCTCTTGGGATATTCAGCTCCCCAAATCCCAAAGCGTCTTTCGGAAAAAGACGGAGTGCTTGCTAGATGAGGGGCAGAGAGGAAGAAAGTACGGGCCAGCCTGAGGGTAGGGGGCGTTCACAGCAACACCAGCACCTCTTTAGTCCCTTGCCGCCCCACGCCCCGCCCTAAAAGAAGTCCCCACCACTTCCACCCTCCTCCCGCTCCGTCCCATCAGCACAGCCAGCTGGGTGGCTGTTACCCGATGCCCAGCGCAGCTCCCAACCATCCGAAACCCGACGCGGGCCATCTGGGCTATCTGCGCCGCTCCACCCTGCCCCCCTCCCGTCTCCGATGGGCGCACTGGGACGACCCCGCACCCGTTGGTTGTTCCGTACGGGCGGCAGCCTGGCACCCCATGCGTCCTCACGAACCACACCCTCTCCCAAGCCTCACCAGTTCCCAGCGGAGCTGGCTGAGGAAGCTGTCAAGCCGAGCGCTGTGCATGTCGGTGCTGGAGCCCCCACCAGGCCTGCCCGTTTCTCCTGGAACCCGCGCGGGAGCGGTGCAGAGGGCCGGGCGGGCCGGCCAGCGGCGCCCTCACTCCCAGCCTTGCTCCGTGGCTCCTCGCTCTCGGTAGCTGCCGCCGCCGCCGCCCCAACATCTGGCAGCCGCGCCCCGCCCCCGGCGCCGCAGCCAGTGGGGGCGGGGCGAGGCTGAAATGGCCCCGCCCCCCGGGCCCGCTGCGTGAGTAACCAGGGCGTACCCTCCCCACTCCACAGCTGCTCCTGCGGGGAAGGGCGGGACTGCAGCTGAAAGCCAGACAGGGTCTGGCCTCCGACCCTCGACGCCCAGGCGGTTGAGCTGATCCTGCACTGCTGCGCGACGCAGCTCGCTTCCCTGCGTTGGCTTTATCTTCCCCACTTGCAATAGAATAGCGGTCCCTACCACTGGGACCCGGTGCTGCGCCCGCATGTGGGCAGAGCGCCCCGGATTGTCCGACCCAGAGATGACGTGGCCAACTCGGGGCCTGTCCCACTGAACCCGTTCTTGAGGTTGGCCTCGACAATCCACGGAAGTGGTGGGAGTGGGATTAGGCCCTTCTGAGAATTCAAAGAGCGCGGGACCTTGCGGCAGCGCAGGGGAGTGGCCTCAGTCGAGGCCCAGCCCGCGCCCTCCCAGCCTGATTCCCGGCAGAGCTAGGCGCGACCGCCCTCTAGCGGGGAGCGCTTGGCTAGCCGCGAGCCTAGCGGAGACAGGCCACCGCTTCTCCCCTGCCTGCCTGCTACCACGTGCAGACTGAGGATCGCTGCGGGGTTGGGGGAAGGCAACGCTCTCCGGCTGGAATGGTCAGACCCTGTCTCCGGCGGCCGCTCTATGATCTCAAGCTAGGCTCAAGGGTATAATGTAACTGAAGACAGAAGAGACATCCCAGAGGAGAGGCAGGGCCAGCTGCTAGGTGCATGACTCTGGAGTTCAGGAGAGACATCAGCAGCGGAGCCGTGGATCTGGGAGGCAAAGCGAATGGATAGTATTTAAGGCCATGGATGAGATGGGGGAGATGAGTACAGATAGAGGGGGACAGTAGTCAGGACTGTGCCCTGGAACATTCTAGTGGGTGGAGGTAGAGGTGATGAAACAGAACCAGCAAAGGAGCTGGGAAGGAGGAGCCAGAGAGATGGGAGAAACCTGAGAGAGTGTGGGGACTTGGGAGCCAAGAGGAACCAGCATCAACTGCTGCACTGGCGAGGAGGTGAGGGTGGAGAACAAACCACTGGATTCTGAAATGTGCAGGTCACTGAGGACCCTGACAAGGGCAGTTTTGCATAGAGAGGAACAAGCCTGACTAGGGTGGGTAGAGAAGAGAATGAGAAGCGAAGAACTGGAAAGAGCAAATGAAGAGAACTTTTTAAAAAATTGACATAAATAGAATAAATGGACAAGTCTCAAAGGTACAGCTCAATAAATGTTAAAATCTGTAGACACTTATGCACCTGCCACCCAGATCAAGATATAGAACATCCTCAGCCACTCTAAGAAGCCACTTTGTGCCCCCTCCAGTTGATATCCACAAAGTTTACCACTATTTTATTTCTATCACAAAGGATTCCTTTTGCTTGTGGGATGTAGACAACTTTTGAGATATTTTGTTGAAGGTTGGGCTCATATTTTGTAGGAAGATAATGTTCTAGTAGGGGGGAAGCAGGGCAGCTGGAGCTCAGACTGTGGGGTAGCAGGTCCTGGGCCCAATTTTCCTGGGTGCTGTGCTTGCTCTATCTCTAAGGATTGCACGACCAGTTTCCCCAACTGAACCTTGATCCTTCTCCCCTCACATCCCCTTAGGGTTGTGGTAATGAATAGGGGCATTCATTGGGGGCAGTGGAAAATGGGATTTTTCAGGCCTCTGGAAGCCTGCCAGGGGTCTAGAGCTCAGTCACCAGGGATGGGTGGGGCTAGAATCTGGAAGGCCCAGGAGTCCCGCCTGCCCAGCTGTGTTTGAGCAACTGACCTAGCAACGGGGTGGGCCTGACAAACAGCCTGGCTTCCTGAAGCCTCCTCCGCTGGCTGAATCCTTGGGCCACCATGGTGCTGCTCAGGCTCCTGGTGCTCCTTTTTGCTCTGGTTGTCTCTGGTGAGGAGCTGGTGGGTGGGACAGCCCCAGTTTTCCCTTGGAGTCCTGACCCTTCTCAGATAAGCTACCATGGACGGCATGGGGGAGAGGCAGGAAAGCATAAGGGTCCCCAACCATCATTCTTTATCTTGGGTGCTTCCTTGACCAAGTTCTCACTCCCTGTCTGTGAAATGTTGGATGTGGGGGACAAGGAAAGGTCTTGGCTGCTTGACCTCAAGATGTGGCCAGGCCCTGTGGTAGAAGGGCAGGACTATGCTGGTACATGTGGTTCCATGAGCACGGAGGGCCTCCAACTTGATTGCCTGTTCCTCACAGACCTCCACAGCCTGCCCTGGTTTATAAATGTCTCCGAGAGCCAGGGCCCTGGCACCATCCTTCAGTCTTTCTCCTTCAACTGCTCCTCCCACACGCCCACCCTGGAGTTGCTCGATGTGCAGCCAGCCACCACCTTCTTCAACCGACCCAGCTTGGCCAGGTGGCAAGGGATCTATGTGGGCAAGGTAGGGCCATGGATACAGCTGGGGACTGTGGGGCACAAGGGCAGACCCAAAGTTCCCAAAGCCCCACGTGGCACTGCCCACCCACCACAGGTGACTTTGAGCAGCTCTGCTCGGCTGGATGCCCTGATGGTGAACCACTATGAGCTGCAGCTTCGGTTCACATGTGGCAGCCATGTGACGGAGGGACCACTCTTTGTGGATGTGCAGCGGGACCCTGACCATATCCAGTGTGCTGGTCAATTTGCCAGCCCAGGTGAGGCCAGGGTCAGGAGGCAGGGTGTGGGTAGGCAAGGCCTGAACAGATCCTCCCTGACCTCCTCTCTGGCCAGCTGGGGAAATGATTCAGGTGCCAGAGACAGTCACACCTGGGGCCCGGCTGTACACTCTCCTGCTCCCAGGCCTAGAGTCCCAGGGAGCCCAGGTAAGCCCAGCACATGGGATAGTGGGTGACAGGATGAGGGCAGGGGGCATAGGGAGTAAACTCAGTCCCCGCCTGGCCAGGCACAGCCTGCAGAAGGACTCTGCTGCAGAGGCACAGCTAAGCCTCTGCATGGTGTGGGTTCTTGGAGACAGCTGCTGAGGGCTGTTCACCCCACAGTGACCATGGCTGTTCCCATAGGGACATCTCAGGGGCTGAGTTCTTCTTTCAAATTCGCCTATGTATTCTGAGTTCTCCAAGACAATTCTGTATTACTTTTGTAATTAAAAAAACGTAGCTAAAAAACAAAGTAATTGGTTTAAAAGCAGAAAGGATTGAGGATCAGGGCCAGGGCTCAGGGAGGAGGTCAGGGAGCCCAGGCTGGAGTAAGGGTCAGTGGTGGGACATGGGAGAATTGGGTGTGGGCAGGTGCCTGCTGGGTTGTTGAGGATGTTGACAGGGGTGCTCAGGGCACTGGGGGCTGGATGGGGTCACCAGCATCTCTGTTCTGTCAGATGAGCATTATCAGTGTCCAGGACCCTCCATACTTCCCTGGACCTTTCTCCATCAATGAGCAAGGTTGGCTGCAGGCACCATCCCAGGGCCTCAAAGGCCAAGCTGAAAAGGTGAGCATGATCTGGGACCTTGGGGTATCCATGGATTGGGTAGAGCCACTACCTTCTGGAAATTTGTTTGTTCTTGGCCTCCCTGACTAATGCTGCCTCTCCCAGTCCTGCACCTGCTGCACCATGCTGGCTCTCCTCCCACCTTGGCCTGATTCTGGGCTAGGTTCTGGAGTTCCAGAAAGAGGAGTCCCTGGCTCTGAGAGCTCACGGTCCCGCTAATAGGAAGGAGAGTGTTTAGGGCAATCACACACACATTAAGAAAAGGTTCTGGATACAATGGGCAGTGCAGTCTGGAGGAGGTTAGAGAAGTTCCCTGTTTAAAATTTCCACCTCTCAGTGACTGACTCTTAGTAACTCTAAGGTGATAATTCACATTGTGAATGACTCAGATATCATTCTTTCTTGGGCTGTTTGCATCCTAATAGAAGAATTTATGGCCCAAAGTATAGAGTGTCAGCAGAGTGACAGATCGTGGGCAAGAGTGAATGTCGGGGCTCCTTGTAGAGGTCCTAAGGGAGGCTACCCATTTGAAGGCAGGACTGGGCACAAAGAGGTGGACACACTGCCGTTCCCTCTCTGTTCTGTGTGCACCACAGGTCTTCCAGCTGCAGATCTCAGTGTCCTTTGGACAAGGCCAAAGCTGTCAGGGGATGGTGCTGGTGAAGGTTTTGCCTGCTCCCTCTAGCCAAGTCTCCTTCCTGTAAGGCACGGTTGGGGAGACAGGGCCTATCCCCAGGGAATCAGAGTGCTGGCTGCTGGAGCATCATCCTAGCTCCTGTAGGAGGGGAGCCCCAGGGAAGGACCCTGTGGACTCCAGTGGGGAAAGCAGGAGCAGGCAGTAGCCAGTACCCCCTTTTTGGTCCAGGGAGCAGGCCCAGAATATCACCATTCCTGAGAACCTGGTCCCTGGGAGCGAGGTGGTTCAGGTCCACGCCCGGGGCTTTGACTTGCGCTATGAAATCTTCTCCCCAATGCCCAGCCCATTCTTCTCCATCGGACAGGGTGAGGGGTGTAGGGGGAGGGGAGGGTACCAGAAGCTTAGATGCCTCTGTGGCTGGTCCAGAGGTGCCCTGTACCACCTCCTTGCCTTTCTGTTTTGGGGCCTGGCCTTGGAGGAGAACGGGGGCTCCTCTGCCAGAGGATCTGGAGGGTGGGTGGGAGCGGGACTGAGCTTGGAGCGGTGCAAACTCTGCATCCCCTACCCTCCCATCCTGTCCAGCAGATGGCGTGGTCCGGACCACCGCACCACTGGAGTTGGCTCGCGCTCCAGGCACAGCAGTCACTAGGCTGCAGGTGAAGGCCTTTGAGCGGCTCCGGCCATGGGCCAGTGCCGAGCTCGACCTTACGGTCAACGTGCAGTTGGTCAACCAGTGGCCCCCGTGCTGCCTCCCAGTGCTCCTGATGTGAGTACACGTGAGCCTTACCTGGGCTGCTGCAGCAAGAGCCACAGCTCACGGATGGGCCAGACT